AAACGAAACGAAACGAAACGAAACGAAACGAAACGAAACGAAACGAAACGAAACGAAACGAAACGAAACGAAACGAAACGAAACGAAACGAAACGAAACGAAACGAAACGAAACGAAACGAAACGAAACGAAACGAAACGAAACGAAACGAAACGAAACGAAACGAAACGAAACGAAACGAAACGAAACGAAACGAAACGAAACGAAACGAAACGAAACGAAACGAAACGAAACGAAACGAAACGAAACGAAACGAAACGAAACGAAACGAAACGAAACGAAACGAAACGAAACGAAACGAAACGAAACGAAACGAAACGAAACGAAACGAAACGAAACGAAACGAAACGAAACGAAACGAAACGAAACGAAACGAAACGAAACGAAACGAAACGAAACGAAACGAAACGAAACGAAACGAAACGAAACGAAACGAAACGAAACGAAACGAAACGAAACGAAACGAAACGAAACGAAACGAAACGAAACGAAACGAAACGAAACGAAACGAAACGAAACGAAACGAAACAAAATCAACAACAAAAAAAAAAAAAAAAAAAAAAAAAAAAGATATTATATATATTATATATCGTATATATACGACGATATAACGATATAACTTTCCTCCTTCCCCACCCCTTCTCCACCCCTTCCTTACCCCCCCCCCCCCCCTAAACTTTCCCCCCCCCCCCCCCCCCTTACGGAGTGCAATAACAACAATATCAGGCCACCCCATCACATTACCAGATTTCCCATAGAATACTTGGCATAAGCCCATACATATACAGTAGGATAGCGCTATTGCATAACAGATGACGCCACCAGCAATTTTAGAAGGCGATGTAATTTCGTTGTAACAATTCTATTTAATACCGAGAGAACAAATTAAACCTCCGGTTTTTTTTTTTTTTTTTTTTTTTTTTTTTTTTTTTTTTTTTTTTTATCGGAGCCTACCTCCCCACCGCTATTTCAGGGTGGGCCGTCGACTAACTTATAACTACTTACAAGCTAGGGGATAGGGTGTCCGATCCACAGATCGTCCCGGATGTTAAATTCCAGGTTTTTTATTTTTGGAATTAATTACACACACACGTTTTATTTATTTACATTTTTTGTCTTAGCCTAGGTTTCGCTTATACTAGTTTAGGGATACATTTTACAGGGTTCTTATTTCTATTTCTATTTCTATTTTTATTGTTACATTTACTTATTTTATATTTGTTTTTATTACACTACATTTCTATTTTATGTTTTTATTTTATTACATTCTATTTTATTTTATATTATTCATTAGTATACCCATTATACTATGTAATATAATTTTACTTTCTATTTTCTTTTGCTACTTTTTCTATTAATAATGTACTGTATTTTATAAATTCCTCTCTTTTCTTTCTATTTCCTATGATTTCCTTATAATTCTCTTCTTTTATTTCTGTGTCTATTTTAATGCTAATTTCATTTCTTAGCGCACCAAAACGGGGGCAGTGTGATAATATGTGTTGTAGAGTCTGTGGAGTATTACTGTCGCAGGGACACGACGGATCGTCCCTGAGGTGGAATCGATGCAGGTACGCAGCGAAACCGCCATGTCCCGTGAACAGTTGTGCAGTGTGGCTGTTCTTTGCGATTTTGCCGACAGTTCTGTACGCCTCGGCTGCGCTTGGGAAGAATAATTTTGTAACGGAAGCAGTCTCGCTACACCGGTACCTATTGTCCCATTCCTCAATCGTCCGATCCCGGATCAGACGCTTGACGAATGAGACAGGGCACCAGTCGTAGTCCGACCTCCTCTTCAACTTCAGGGCTGCGTCCTTGGCCAGCTGGTCGGCCCTCTCATTACCCTCCCACCCCGCGTGTGCCTTTATCCAGTATATTTTTATTTCCTTTCCCTTTTCCACGCATGTCCTATAATTTTTCCTAAATTCTTCCGCGAGGGGGTGGGTGGTCAACGGGTTTATCACCGTTTGTATTGCAGCCCTGGAGTCGCTGAGGATGCCGAACGTGGATGCAGGATGTTCCAAAATTAGCCCCATGGCTCGACTCAGAGCCAGGAGCTCCGCCTGGTATACCGTACAGTGTGCCGAGAGAGCAAGTCTGAGGGCCTTGGTTTCGGTCGCTCTGTTCCACACTGACAGAGCTGCACCGACCCGGCCCTCAATCTTGCTCCCGTCGGTGAAGATCCTTATTTCATGCTGTTCTCTGACCTCTCGGTATTTCGCGTCGTCTACCAGGTCTTGGAACTCCAGCCTCCTTTGCCTTGCCGGGTGGGGCTTTTCAACTGCAGGCGTCATTCGCTCGACCTCTCTGTCCCCCACCAGGTCGCCGGGCTCGCCCCTCTTCGCCTCGTACAGCGAGGCGACTTCGCGTATGCGAAGGTCGAGAGGGAGGAGTCCGGATAGGACCAGGGCGGAGTCCAGAGAGACCGTGCGGTACGCCCTGCAAATTTTTTGGGCGAAGCCCCTCTGCACCACGTTCAGCTGCTTCCGAAATTCCAGCTTGGAGACCGAGGAGGCCCAAGCGCTTGCCGCATACAGAATTATCGGCTCCACCGCTGCCGTGTAGATGGTCCTTGTCACTTCTGGGTGCAGACCCCAGCTGACCTTTGCCGCCCTAGCCAACTGTTTGTAAATGGCTATAGCCCTTTTACAAACATCCGCCATATGGGCGTTGAAGGTCAGCCGGTGGTCAATGGTGAGCCCCAGAAGTTTGACCTTGTCTGTCATGCCAATGTCTACCCCTCCCATGCTCAGGCGTGGTGTGTCATATTTCAATTTTCTCGTTATTATTATTGCGCTGGTCTTGTGCGGTGCGAATCTTAATTTACTTCTGACACCCCACGCCCGAACATGTTCGAGGGCGGCATTGGCACGACGCTCGATGTCTAAGGCCGTCCACCCATCGAATACTAGCGCGACATCGTCCGCGAACGCCTGGCAGTAGATGCCCTGCTGTTCGAGCTCTCTCAATAGGGGGTCCAATAGTACATTCCACAAAAGTGGTCCCCCTATTGAGCCCTGCACACATCCCAGCCCCGCCTGCCGGATTGCCCGCGCCCCAGCATACCTCACCTCAACCGTCCTGTCACTCAGGTAGCTGTCGATCGCCCGTCTCAGGTTCACCGGGCACTTTTCCTCAGCCAGTCGGACCCTTATCATCGGCCACCACGCACTGTCGAAGGCGCCCTCTATGTCTAGTGAGATCAGTACAGTAATCTTTTTCTCTTCTAACTTAGTTCTTATATGTTTCATTAATCTATAGAGGGCGTCTTCGGCACTGCGCTGTGGCATGAACCCGAACTGGCGAGTACTAAACCTCGGTAGCAGGTGATACCTGAGCCGAGCGACCAGCATCTTCTCGTACACCTTCCCCAAAACCGGTAACAGTCCTATCGGCCTGTACGATTTGGGGTCGGTGTACGAGCTTTTGCCTGGCTTCCTGAGGACAATGACGGTTGCCTCCTTCCATCTTCTGGGGAAATACTGGAGCGCTAAGCACCTATTCAGTAGGGCCAGGAAGTATACAGGGTTACCGCCAATCGCTCCCGAACAGATGTCGGCCGTAAACCCATCTGCACCGGGGGCCTTCTTCGGGTTGAATGACTCCACCGCTGACTCCAACTCGAGCATAGTGAAGGGGGGATCGTTCCCATCTCTTTCCTCCTTGTTGACCTCATCCGCTTTCCTTCTTACCTCCCTGTGATCTCCCTCCTCAATTTCCCTATTATCCTCAGGATAAAATTTTTTGGCAATAAGATCTGCTGATCCTTGCGCGTCCAATTTTTTCCCCCCTTCCTCCAGCATGACATCCTCCTCCCTGCCCCTTGTCCTTCCTATCACCCTGTATATCCCTTCCCACATACCTTCCCTGTCCTGCTTCCCGCAGAATCCCCTCCAACTCTCGACCTGTGCTTGTTTTACGGCTTCCTGATATTTTTTATTCTGTTCTAGGTAGAGAGCCACTACAGCAGCCCTCTGCGCCGGCTGCGCGTTCCTGATGCGGCGCCTCCGGGTGACGACCTCACGCTTCATCTTCGTGAGATCGTCCGTCCACCACGGTATGGTAAGTGTTTCTGTATTTTTCTTGTATGGTATTGTCTGTCTGCAGGTGAGTGTAATTGCCTCTGTGTATTTTTCAATCGTGTGTTCGAGTTGTGAGTGTTGTGTTACTGTTTCGAGTTTCTGTGGTGTTAAGTGTGTGTCTTGCATAATTTGGGCCAATTTCTCACGAAATTGGCTCCAATTTGCTTTCTTTGTGTTGTATATGCGCGTGGTTCGTGTTATTTCTGTTCCTTTTGACTTTGTAATGTGTACGTGAAATGTAATACCGTTGTGGTCCGAACTGGTTAGAGAATCATCGACTCTCCAACCAGTCACCAGGCCGAGCGCCCCATCAGTACACGCCGTCACGTCTACGTGGCTACTGTAGTGTCTCCCCCCCGCCATGTGTCGAAAGTTGGAGCGGATCCCACGTTCAGCACGTTCATGCCGGACTCGCAGATTAGCCCGCGCATCAGTTCGCCTCTTCGGTCTTCCCGAGGGCTGCCCCACCAGATGCTCTTCGCGTTCGCATCGCCACCGATGATCAGCCTGTTGGCCCCGACCCCCTCTCTGATTTTCTCTAGCTGCCCCAGGTATGGCTCTATGGGTTGGTCCGGTTCAAAGTAGTAGGACGCAAACGTCATCCCCCAGCTTCCCGAGCGGACGGTCACCACCGTGATGTTTTTGGTGGTGTATTCAGGATGTTGGGTGATATGAAGGCCTCCATCGAAAACCATGATGGCGGCCTTCACATCACCTCCGTCCGCTCCGGAAGACTGATAGACTCTGACGCCCCTGCGTCCCGCTACTTTCCCTTTTCCTCCCACATAGGGCTCCTGGAGCAGAGCTATTGAAACTCCCCGGTCGGCGGCTTCCATAAGCAGCTCTCCGGTGGCGATCTTACTGCGTTGTAAATTTACTTGGAGCACCTGGTGTTTTCGGGCGTTCCCCGGGGCAACTTTAGCAGTATGCTACTGATGCCCGGGCCAGCGAGTCCCATCTCCTACGCACAGGGCACTCATCATTGAATGCCGTGTGGCCCGTGTCCTCAGCCTTGGATCGGTGGCAATTTATGCAGCTGGGTGTCGCCCCCGCCCTCCAGTCAGGGCACTCGTTCTTCTGGTGCAGTCCCCCGCAATAGCTGCACAGGTCCGCGTGTTCTTTGCAGAACCGCTTACTGTGCCCATAGGCTAAGCACCTGGTACACTGCACCAGGGGGGATTGATCGTCTACCCGGACCCTTTGCAGGTCGATACGGAGACGATCTTCCTCGAGTGCCCTCTTCCAGATGGCGGGTGAGACCTCCAGTACAATATGTGTGGTGTGTTGGTTCCTTGCCCTCTTCCTATATTTGACCGCTACTCTGTCCTCCTCCTTTCCGAGGCCGCGAAAAACAGCCCCGTTCTGGTTTCTGAGCGCTTTTAGCACATCCGCGTCTGAGTGCACTTTTAGCACGTCTCTGAGAACCAGAAGGGGGTCTCTGTTCTTCACGTCCTCGACGACCAGTCCCTTCCCTGCACTCCTCAGCCTTTCCCTGATCTTCGCCTTGTCCGCTTCCCCAGCACACCCCACAATCACCTTCCGATCCTTGGCCTTCCTGACACGCTCCACACGGACCCAACCCTCCTTTGCATCGACCGTCTCCCTGATCTTTTCCAGGACTACCTCCGCTGAGTCCTCTTCGTCCTTTGAGGCGACGACCACCGAGTGTAAGGTTTTCCTCTCCTCTGTGCGTCTTCCTTTCCCAGTGGCTGTCGCCTCGGCGTACGTCGCATGCATTGCCCTTGCTTCCTGTTCTTTCTCTCTACTCTCTTTTGCTTCTCTCTGTATCTCTTCCATCCTTTCTGCATTTTCCCTTAGTATTCTGTTGTTTTCTCTTATCCCGTCCATAATTTCTTCCATTTTCTTCTCTATTTCTCCTTTCTCCTTATTCTTCTCTTCTTCTTCCTTGTTCTTCTCGGCTTCCTTCTCCTTTTCCGGTGATGTCCCCTTCTCCTTTCTTCTTTCTACCTTTAGCTTTTCTAGTTCCGCTTCTGACTCCTTTACTAGCCTGTACAGCTTTTCCACCTGAGCCGCGGTGTCGTCTTTGAGGTCTCGGCGGAGGTTTTTGAACAGGGCCAAGTTGGATTTCGCCTTGTTATTGCATAGGCGTGCCTCCTCTGTCCTGCTTTTTGTTGCAGATTTTGGGGCAATTTTCGCCTCAATCTCCCCGATACTGCGCCGTACGCTGGTATTGGCTGCCGGCTCTGGTGGTGTGGCTGCACTCGCTCTCCTTGGGATCCTCGGCGGAGTCCTCAGCCCGAACATGGTGTGGACGGTGTGTTGTGTGTGTGTGATTTGTTTTAGGTCCTCCGTGGACGATGTGTGTGTATACTTAGTGCCTGTAAAGAGGGTCACTAAGTATGTGTTCTCCGCTTTGGGCGTCAATAGGTGGTAAATGTTACGGTGCAATTATTCGTTTTACCTAACTACCTACTATTACTTTGTATATATACAGTACCTGTATAGGGGGTATTGTGTATATACTAGTCAATTCCTATATCCGTCAATTGTCAATATATAGAAGAAGTAGCAAAATCTACTCTAGTACAGTTCCGGTTTTATTCTACTTACTCTATTTTACAATTTTTATTTTCCTAATTATATGTTTTATTTATACAATTTGTACTATTCTACTCTGTTTGTTGCGTTTGATTGTTTACTATTTATTATGTCAATATTTTACAGTTTTAAATGGGTTTTCCTAATTATTTCTATTTTAGTTTTACAATTTTAGTATGAATTGGGTGTATAATATGGGTGAATAATAAAGCCGTAGTATACAATTTTTGGTTTATCTTAATTTATCTTATATTTAAATCTTATCAAACTATATATTACGGTTAAACCGGGATTCTGTCAGGTGGCCTATGGGGGTTGGGTCTTAGGGTTTGAGGGGAATAATTTTAAAAAAGGGGGTGGGGGTTTTATGGGGGGTGGGGGAATAAGGGGTATATTATTATGGGTACTTGGGATTTAGTGGGATTATGTTGGGGTAGTTTATTAGGGCTTTCTATGCTGATTAAAACGAGCTGTCACACGTTGACGTGCGATCAGCCGTTTAAGAGATAATTATCGGGGGGTAGGGGGATTTATGGGGGGAGTGGGGTGGGGTATGCTGATTAACCGCGCTGTCACACGTTAACGTGCGATCAGCCGCTTAGGAAATAATTATAGGGGGAGTAGGGGGTTTTATGGGGGGTGGGGTGGGGTATGTGGTATATTTTTATGGGTACTTGGGATGTTTCAGTAATTATTTATAGGGGGCTAATAATTTTTTGAAGGGGGGGGGGGGGGTTTCCAGGGGGTGAAATTATAGGGGTTGGGATTTAGGGTTTGAGGGGAAATCAGTTTCCCTTTAAAAAATTTTCAAAAAATTTTTTTTTTTTTTTGAAAAAATTTTTGATTTTTTCAAAAAATATTTTTGAGCTATAGGGATGTTTTTGGGGTAGTTTATTAGGGCTTTTTATGCTGATTAAAACGAGGTGTCACACAATGATGTGCGAACAGTCGTTCCGGAGGTAATTATAGGGGGGGGTGGGGGGTTGTATGGGGGGGTGGGGTGGGGTAGGTGATATATTTTTATGGGTACTTAGGATATTTCAGTAAATATTTATAGGGGGCTAATAATTTTTTGAAGGGGGGGTTTTCCAGGGGGTGCAATTTTAGGGGTTGGGACTTAGGGTTTGAGGGGAATTCAGTTTCACTTTTTAAAAAATTTTCAAAAAATTTTTTGAAAAAATTTTTGATTTTTTCAAAAAATATTTTTGAGCTATAGGGATGTTTTTGGGGTAGTTTATTAGGGCTTTTTATGCTGATTAAAACGAGGTGTCACACAATGATGTGCGAACAGTCGTTCCGGGGGTAATTGTAGGGGGGGGTGGGGGGTTTTATGGGGGGGTGGGGTGGGGTAGGTGATATATATTTTTATGGGTAATTGGGATATTTCAGTAAATATTTATAAGGGCTAATAATTTTTTGAAGGGGGGGTTTTCCAGGGGGTGCAATTTTAGGGGTTGGGACTTAGGGTTTGAGGGGAAATCAGTTTCACTTTAAAAAATTTTCAAAAAAAAATTTTTTGAAAAAAAATTTTTGATTTTTTCAAAAAATATTTTTGAGCTATAGGGATGTTTTTGGGGTAGTTTATTAGGGCTTTTTATGCTGATTAAAACGAGGTGTCACACAATGATGTGCGAACAGTCGTTCCGGAGGTAATTATAGGGGGGGGGGGGTTTTATGGGGGGGTGGGGTGGGGTAGGTGATATATTTTTATGGGTACTTAGGATATTTCAGTAAATATTTATAGGGGGCTAATAATTTTTTGAAGGGGGGGTTTTCCAGGGGGTGCAATTTTAGGGGTTGGGACTTAGGGTTTGAGGGGAATTCAGTTTCACTTTTAAAAAATTTTCAAAAAATTTTTTGAAAAAAAAATTTTTGATTTTTTCAAAAAATATTTTTGAGCTATAGGGATGTTTTTGGGGTAGTTTATTAGGGCTTTTTATGCTGATTAAAACGAGGTGTCACACAATGATGTGCGAACAGTCGTTCCGGGGGTAATTATAGGGGGGGGGGGGGGGTTTTATGGGGGGGGTGGGGTGGGGTAGGTGATATATATTTTTATGGGTAATTGGGATATTTCAGTAAATATTTATAGGGGGCTAATAATTTTTTGAAGGGGGGGTTTTCCAGGGGGTGCAATTTTAGGGGTTGGGACTTAGGGTTTGAGGGGAATTCAGTTTCACTTTAAAAAATTTTCAAAAAATTTTTTGAAAAAATTTTTGATTTTTTCAAAAAATATTTTTGAGCTATAGGGATGTTTTTGGGGTAGTTTATTAGGGCTTTTTATGCTGATTAAAACGAGGTGTCACACAATGATGTGCGAACAGTCGTTCCGGAGGTAATTATAGGGGGGGTGGGGGGTTTTATGGGGGGGTGGGGTGGGGTAGGTGATATATTTTTATGGGTACTTAGGATATTTCAGTAAATATTTATAGGGGGCTAATAATTTTTTGAAGGGGGGGTTTTCCAGGGGGTGCAATTTTAGGGGTTGGGACTTAGGGTTTGAGGGGAATTCAGTTTCACTTTAAAAATTTTTCAAAAAATTTTTTGAAAAAATTTTTGATTTTTTCAAAAAATATTTTTGAGCTATAGGGATGTTTTTGGGGTAGTTTATTAGGGCTTTTTATGCTGATTAAAACGAGGTGTCACACAATGATGTGCGAACAGTCGTTCCGGGGGTAATTATAGGGGGGGGTGGGGGGTTTTATGGGGGGGTGGGGTGGGGTAGGTGATATATTTTTATGGGTACTTAGGATATTTCAGTAAATATTTATAGGGGGCTAATAATTTTTTGAAGGGGGGGTTTTCCAGGGGGTGCAAGTTTAGGGGTTGGGACTTAGGGTTTGAGGGGAATTCAGTTTCACTTTAAAAAATTTTCAAAAAATTTTTTGAAAAAATTTTTGATTTTTTCAAAAAATATTTTTGAGCTATAGGGATGTTTTTGGGGTAGTTTATTAGGGCTTTTTATGCTGATTAAAACGAGGTGTCACACAATGATGTGCGAACAGTCGTTCCGGGGGTAATTATAGGGGGGGGTGGGGGGTTTTATGGGGGGGTGGGGTGGGGTAGGTGATATATTTTTATGGGTACTTGGGATATTTCAGTAAATATTTATGGGGGGCTAATAATTTTTTGAAGGGGGTTTTCCAGGGGGTGCAATTTTAGGGGTTGGGACTTAGGGTTTGAGGGGAAATCAAGTTTCACTTTAAAAAATTTTCAAAAAATTTTTTGAAAAAAAAATTTTTGATTTTTTCAAAAAATATTTTTGAGCTATAGGGATGTTTTTGGGGTAGTTTATTAGGGCTTTTTATGCTGATTAAAACGAGGTGTCACACAATAATGTGCGAACAGTCTTTCAGGAGTTGGTTATAGGGGGAGTGGGGGGGTTTTATGGGGGGTGGGGATCGATAAGGTATTTATAGGGGACCAGTGATTTTTGAAGGGGGTGTTTATAGGGGTTTGGACTTAGGGTTTGTGAGGAAATCAAATTGTAAACTTTAGCCAAAATTTTTCAAATTTGTTCAAAGTAATATTTAATATTTTTATTATTTATCCCAAAAAGATCACGCTTGACTCTAATCCAAGGTGACAGTCTAATTTTGATAAAACATCTAACAATAGATAGAATATTTTTAAGAAATATTAAAAATAATTATATTTTAATCCTAAAATGATCACGCTTGACTCTAATCCGGTATGTTTGACTAATTTTGATGAAACTCGTAACAATCCATAGAACTTTTTTAAGAATTTAATATTTTAATATATTTTTAACCCAGTAATGATCGCCCTTGACAGAATCCAAGTTTGGGGAAGAATTATACAATTTTAAAAAACTTTAATTATTAAAATGTAATCCTGAAACGATCACTCTTGACGAAAATCACCCGCCCTATCAATAAACCGTTTTATTTTTGTGATATGCACCTGAACAAACTAAACATGAACCCGATATAGAAGTATGATGGGCCGTCCCTATCAATGATATTTTACAAATGTGATGGACTATTATCAACTTTCAATTTTAATTTTAATTTTTTCCGGAATTTCAATTTACAATAACTTCTGATCTAGTAGGAATTTTAAAATTTTGAAAACGCTATGGTAATTTTTGGAAAATAGGCCGTCTAATGTGCTAATTTTCCTTTTGGAAATTTTGAAATTGGGGGGGTGATTTTCTTGTTATTTATTTACGTAAAAATGTATTAATTTTATGACTATTTATGCTAATTTGGATATAACTTTAAAAGTACTTAACCTACGGCTTCGGTTGTGGTGTCGTCTGATAGCTGGAGATTTTCTCCAGCTGTTGGATGTTCCTACAGCTCCCGGCGCCTAACGCTGTTCTGGTGGTGGTCTCCCAAAGTTGAGATTTGGCGATTTTTTGGGTTTTTTCCCTCTGTACGGCTTCTCCGTTACGGAAAATTCTCGGGATTTCGGTGTTGTACTCGCCAGGTCTTCCCTCACCTCGGAATTTCCACCGTTTGTCCGGGATAACCCGGGAAGTCTTTCCACGTGGACACGTGGTTTTAGGTTTTTGGCAATTTCCACGGGTTTTCTTCGCGAGAAAAATCTGAAACTTCGTGTAGTTGTGTATGTCGGGGAGGCACACTATATTCCGATTTTTAATATATAGGTCACCGATTTACTTTTTGTGTTATTGTCACTTTTATCACATAACCTATCGTAACTTTTTATATTAACTTTGT